GCTCTGGCCTCCTCTCCTGGTTCAACAGTCACCATGTACAAATATCATAGGTGAAGTAAATGTAGTTAAAAAGAGTAGTAATGTTGGTTGTGGTACACAATAGCATATTTTGTGAAAAATATCCACTGTTTTGGAAACTTTCTTAGATATGTTCTAAATGTGTTCACTGAATTTAAGTTTGCTGTCAAGAAGAATTCCCAATGTATGTACTATTTAGCTTTATGTTTAGTTGTATGTTTTAGATTTATTCCCAAACATTATACAATAAGATTTATCATTATTGACTGTTAACCCTTTGAGGGTTTCGGCCGTACTAGTACGGCTTATGACCCAGGGTTTTTGACGTACTAGTACGCCTAAATTCTAGCGCCCTCAAATTTAGTGGGAGAAAGCTGGTAGGCCTACATATGAAAGAATGGGTCTGTGGTCAGTGTGCACAGTATAAAAAAAATCCTGCAGCACACAGTGCATAATGAGAAAAAAAAAACTTAGACCATTTTTTAGGAATAAAACAGCGACTTTGCACTGTATTTTCGTATGGTATTTATTGTTGTATTCTAGTTTTCTTGGTCTCATTTCATAGAATGGAAGACATATTACAAAAATTTTGAGATGATTTTGACTGATTTTTACAATGAAAAAAACCCTTGAAATTGAGCTCAAAGTAGCAGAAATGCTCGCTTTTTACCAAAGTTCAAAACTAAACAAATCATGCCAAGCGTCCAATACACGTCAACGGGCCCGAGTCTATTTTCTTTTGCAAGTGCCCCAAATATTATTTATACCATTTTTACACTAATGCAATAGTCTGCAAAAAAACAGTAAATCTTCTATTTTTTGTGAGAATAAAAATTCAAAGTGAAAAGAAAAAGAATTTTAAGAGGGGCCTTGAGACGTGACTAATAAACAGGGGAAAAATGTCATTTTAGTGCCGGGAATGTCTTTCTTGTTTATTCTGGCCCTATTCGGAAATTGGCATCTTTTGAAATTTGTGTAAAATTTGGGCAAAATTGCTAAATTTGACCACTTTTACTGGATAGTTGAAATCGGCAAATGGGTGGTTTTTGCACTCATTCGATAGAAAAAACGGGGGCTTAGTGAAATATTATGTTTTTTGTCAACTAGTACAGTGGAATTGGTCAAAAATGGGGCTCAAAGTGGGCAAAATCGCCGATGCATAAACATTGCCGAGACCGCTAACTTTGCGAGAGCATAATTCTGTAAGTTTTCCATCAAATTTCATACTTTTGGTGCCATTATGATCGGGAAAAGATTCTCTATCTTTTCATAGGAACAAATTATTTTTTTTAAAATTTGGCCGACCCTGAGAACGAGTCTCGGAAAGGGCCTGTCAACTTTCGAAGGGTTAACCCTTTGACTGTCGAGGTCGTATAAATAGGTCATAGGAGATACCGTGTTTGACATATCTATACGCATAAATTCTAGCGGCTTCAAATCAAGCAGGAGAAAGCTGGTAGGCCCATTTGTGAGAGAATGGGTCTCCATAGTCAGTGTGCACCATATAAAAAAAATCAGGGAGCCAGTGGTGCATTGTGGGAATGCCATTTCAGTCGTCCTTTTTCAGCATGCTTAGCGGTAAGAAATGTATGACTCCCCAGCAAATCTGGGACTCTTCTCTTCCCAATTGATGCTCTAACACAGATGGAAGTGTCAGTGAAGATCAATTTCATGATTTCCAGGAGTTTGAGACCAAAGGCAATGGTGGGGGAGGGAGGGAGGGAGGGAGGGAGGGAAGGGAGGAGGAGGAGATAATATGTAATAATGTGTTTCCTTGAAGCATGAAAAACAATTCACCCCATGACAGTGACAAGATAAGGGAAGATAACATCTGATAAGAGCTGACGTTTGATGAGCGTAAACGAGGGTGAGGAGAGGGGGCAGCTGATAAGAAAAGATTAGATAATGATCCCCCTCGCTATGTTTTTGCTGGTACACAAACATTTCTGTGTATTTGTCTGTGTCAAGCTCCCTGTCTATCCGTCTAGCTCTCTGTCTCACAGAGAGCCACAAGACTGTCATCACCTTTACTCACATCTTCAAGCAGAGTATAGCATAGTCTGGATTTTTTGGGTTATCGTAGGTAATTTACACTGTGTATACTTGTATTTATGTGTACCTGTGAGACAGAGATAGACAGAAAGAGAGAGAGAGATTGAAAGAGATAGAATGGAGGGGAAGCAGCAACCGACCCCATTGTTTTAACAGGCAGTAGGGGGAGTGAGTAATGAGATAATATGTCATTTTGACAGCTGCCGACTCCTGACTCAAAACAATTATAAGCCACACACTCGCACACAAGACAAGCTTGCTGAATGAAGATAATAGCAGTTATATGAAAGTATCTAGTGACTATATATGTGTATATATATTATAGAAACCCGAAGGAAGGAAGAATGGAAGGCAGGAATGAAGGAAGGACGAGATGAAAGGAAGGAAAAAAAAGTAAGGAAGGAAAGACGAAGGAATGTAGGAGGGAAGGTAGGAAAGGAATGAAAGAAGGTAGGAAGGAAGGAAGGAATGATGACACATGACCATTTACCTAGGTTGGTAGACAGCAACCACCCAGGGAGGTACTACCGTCCTGCCAAGTGAGTGTAAAACGAAAACCTGTAATTGTTTTACATGATGGTAAGATTGCTGGTGTCCTTTTTTCTGTCTCATAAACATGCAAGATTTCAGGTATGTCTTGCTACTTCTACTTACACTTAGGTCACACTACACATACATGTACAAGCATATATATACACACCCCTCTGGGTATTCTTCTATTTTCTTTCTAATTCTTGTTCTTGTTTATTTCCTCTTATCTCCACGGGGAAGTGGAACAGAATTCTTCCTCCGTAAGCCATGCGTGTTGTAAGAGGCAACTAAAATGCCGGGAGCAAGGGGCTAGTAACCCCTTCTCCCGTATAAATTACTAAATTTAAAAGAGAAACTTTCGTTTTTCTTTTTGGGCCCCCGCCTTGGTGGGATACGGCCGGTGTGTTGAAAGAAGAACTACATAACACAACTGCCTGCTAATACACCTACCACTCGACTTACGACCACTCGACTTACGACCACTCGACTTACGACCACTCGACTTACGACCACTCGACTTACGACCACTCGACTTACGACCACTCGACTTACGACCACTCGACTTACACCACTCGACTTAGGGACCACTCGACTTACGACACTCGACTTACGACCACTCGACTTACGACCCACTCGATTTAAACGACCACTCGACTTACGACCACTCGACTTACGCCCACTCGACTTACGACCACTCAAACTTACGACCACTCGACTTACGACCACTCGACTTTACGACCACTCGACTTACGACCACTCGACTTACGACCACTCGATTTAAACGACCACTCGACTTACGACCACTCGACTTACGACCACTCGACTTACGCCCACTCGACTTACGACCACTCGACTTACGACCACTCGACTACGACCACTCGACTTACGACCACTCGACTTACGACCACTCGACTTACGACCACTTCGACTTACACCACTCGACTTACGACCACTCGACTTACGACCACTCGACTTACGACCACTCGACTTACGACCACTCGACTTACGACCACTCGACTTACGACCACTCGACTTACGACCGTGTTTTTTATGCCAAATTTCTGGGAAATAAACAACTATTTGTGTTGTACACAGTGTTTATCCTAAACCTTACAGTATAAAATACAGTACTAACAGCATAAAAAGTAAAGTAAAACATGAAATACCAAATAAAACAATAAAATAAAGCCATTACAACAATGTTTTGTTGATATTCAGTAGTAAAATTCGACTTACAGCCATTTCGACTTACGACCGGTTTCTCAGAACCGAACTCGGTCGTAAGTCAGATGCTACTTTGAAGGAAACTGCTCAGACGAGGTGTTTTGTCTTTGCACATAAAAAAAAAAAAGTCCACAAAAATGCACACACACTCGTTGTGTGTGTGAGGAGTGTAAAACACCATTGTGTATGAAAACATGTTTCAAAGAGTTCCACAAGCTGCAGAACTTCTAGGAATATGTCCAGTGACTGTATATTGGTATATATATTATAGAACAATAGTAATAAACAATTTTTTGTATTGTTTGTTCTTGTAAACAAGTTTTGTAAACAATATATTGATAATTATGTTTGTGTGCTTATTGTGTTGTATACAACGAGTGTATATATGTACATTGCACCTTACTTTGGTCTCACAGGCCACATAAGTTATGTGAAAAAATAAAATAATGAAAAAACAACCTTCAAATACAAGTAAACCAAAGTTTACCGGGTGAGCGGCAGTCGCTGCTGTTGCCATACGCGGCTCATTTTCTGCAAACTTCATGCCTCTGTATCTCAGCAAGTACTGATGGCAAAAATTTTTTTTTGGACAAAAACAATCAGAAAAATAATCTTAACATTTTCATAAGAAAAAAGAATTTATTTTTTTGAATATTTTGCGACACCAGGAGACACTTCAGGATTGGGGCTTTCGACAGTCAAAGGGTTAATGAATTTGTCATCATCTAAGTTTGATATAAAAGGGTTTCAGCTCTTCTACTAGTAGTGGCAACACAGCTGTTTTCTTTTTAACTCTCAGTCTCGTCAGGTTAACCAGGTCTCCAAGAATGTCCTAATAACAAGACGTTCAGCAACAATATGCAGTACAGTACTTGGAAATCTAAGACATCAAAGCCAAACAAAGCAGATGAAATTTCACCAACAGCTAGCAAAATTACAAGAATGTTTGTCTTAACTTACCCACCTACCCATTAGTATCTGAGGTTTGTTCCATCTCTTACAAGGTAAACTCTTTGATGAGGTCAGTGAGGTCTGTTATTATTTTGAACCTCTTACTTGCTGAAATTGCTTTTACTACAATATCATCATCCATAAAACACTGATTTATCTCTATTATTCTGTAAAGAAAGAAGATTGAAAAAACAAATTAAAAAAGTTATTAAAAACTACGTTACCTGAAGAATGGAAGGGTACGATGAACAATGCCCTCATTGGAGTTATCATTTTTATTAACGAAAAGTAGAGTCCAATCATGAGGGATTGAAGGCGAGTCCACAGCATAGCCATGGTTCTGAGTAGTGATGAAACATCTCCTTGATCCTTCATGTATACAAGGTTGGTTGTGCCCACGGTTACCATACCTGTACAAAACAAATTTACACTAAATTATGCAAGTATAATTTGTTAGTTCTTACTTTACTCTTCCTTGCTGTGATTTCCTTACAGTTTAGAACTTAAGTGATATAAAAGTGATATAAAAGAACTTTTTAAACCTTAGATTATATACTCTGTCTGAACAAGACGCTTGTGGCTTGTTTAGGTTTATCTAACCAAGGAAGAGGTCCTGTCTAGAGGCCACCAATCCATTTACTGACCAGACCAATGTTAACTCATGAATCAACTCGTCATCCATAATGGTTGAACCTCAGTTGTTAAGTTCTGAACTCACTACTTACAACAAATCAAGTTTCTTAACAACAGGGAAAGAGCTTACAATTACTCTGGCTAAACCAAGTACAAAAATAATCTTTCTGGAGAAGGAAGAAACAACATGGTAGATCACAAAATGTATTCAAGTTGTGTTTGCAGGAATCATGGTTGTCACACCTACTGTATTCTTGAAGCTGCAAATTAAAGAAACTTCTACTATTCAATCTATCTCATTCAACTTTTTAACCATCCCAAGAGTGAAGATATATGTACAGTGGACCCTCAGCTAACGATATTAATCCGTTCCTGAAAGCTCATTATTGGCTGAAATTATCATTAGCTGAATTAATTTTCCCCTTAAGAAATATGGAATTTTAAATTAATCGTGAGCCCCCAAATTTTGAAAAAAAAAAATTTACCCATGAAATTTAATTTTTATACACACAAATGACACTTACTTTTTTTGAAGATTGGTGATGATTGATGGGATGGAGGAGGGGAGTGAGCGGAAGTTGTTAATGTTTAGAAGAGAATTCCCTTCCATTAGGACTTGAACATCAAGTCCTTTTCCAGGTTACTTTCCTTTTCTTTTTTAAAGCCACTAGGACCAGCTTTTGGGGTCGTTTGGGCCTCTGTCGCACAAAAATCTGTCTATAGTGGTCTGTACCTCCATTCCTTTAAGATTTGCCACACATTTCACTGTAATAGTCACCAGCATGGTTGCAAAAGCTGTGTTAGGGTGTTTTCATCATAAAGGTTTGCAGTTCAACCCACTTTGCACACTTTCCTTAATCTTTGTAGTAGTCACAATGGATTCCAACTGGGATAGACATCTCAGGGTTAGCCCAAACCTTCAAAATCTAATTTCCATACTAATTCTCATCCTTTTTAGACAGGGTTGGCACTAGAAGCTTTCTTGGAAGCCCATGGTGACTTATTTTGCAGGTACTATCACTAAAAACGCTGTTGATAATATGAAATGGTTCCGATTTATGCGTGGATGCGACTGCACTGGCTGGGCTTTTTAAAACATGGCACCCACGGGGACAACTGAGGCGGCGCTCAGGCCACAGTGGACGGCGGGGTCTCAAACGAACGCGTTGGGCGGTTTTTTTAGCATTAGCCGAGGGAAAATTTTTGCGTTAAAATGTATTGTTAGCTGGATTTAACGTTAGCTGATGCATCGTAGTGGGGTTTACTGTACTTCCCAATATTCTGCTCTCTCATTTTTCTTCGGTTTCTATTTGTGAACCCTCATCCCCGATTCCCTCCTTCAAGAAAAAAAATATGTTTATCTTATGGTGTCACTTAGAATTTCATTTTATATTTAAGTGCACCCTTTCTCTCCTTTCTTCCACGTCATCACATTTAATTCCTTGAGTCTCAGTGAAAAATCGTATTTCTTTTTGATCTGGGACAAATTTATTATAAACCTCTCAATTTTCTCTAGCATTTGCATTAATTAATCAGGTGGGGGGTCTATGTCAAGAATGATACTCCATGAGGACCTTTTTTTTTTTTTTTTTTTTTTTTTTTTTTAACAAGTCGGCCACTCCAACGAGGGAGGGTGACCAAAAAAAAGGAAATCCCAAAAAGAAAATACTTTCATCTCACTCAACACTTTCACCCCACTACACATTATCACTGTTTTTGCAAGGTGCTCAGAAAACAACAGTTTAGAAAGCACACACACATAGATAACAACATTCCTCCAAATGCCAATATCCAAAACCCTTCTTTTAAAAGTGCAGGCATTGTACTCCCATTTCCAGGACTCAAATCGACTATATGAAAATAAAGGTTTCCCTGAATCCCTTCACTAAATATTACCCTGCCAACCCAAACAGATCGTCAGGTCCCAAGTTAAACCAATTCTCTCCAAATTCACTCCTCTCTAACCCTGCTCACGCCACGCTTGTGAAGTCCCAAACCCCTTGCCCCAAAAACTCTTTACCCTTCTCAAAATTTCAGAGACCCATACCCGTTCCTTCCCCTAATAGATTTATAACTTTCCAATTTTCAAAAATTTTCTTATCCTTCTCTCTAAATGAAAACCACCTAAAACCCTCTTCTGCCCTTGATAATACTTTTTTACTTTAACCTTTTCCTAAATTTCCAACACTCAAAATTTTCTGAATAATATTTTAACACACTTCCTATATCAACATCTCAACTGCCTCCAACGTCTCCTTCGCTCTCATTTACCAAACCCCGCTTCAACCCATAAAAAGAGTGTTTTTGGAATATATACTTTCATTACATCCCTTCTTTGCCTCCACATAACCTCAACCCCACTCACCCTTTTTTCCCCTCATCAATTCTAGATTAACCTCATCCTTCCATAAATCATCCGCCGACACGCAACTCCCAAGTATCTAAAACATTTCACTTCTTCCCTACTCCTCCTCCCCAAAATTTGATATCCAATTTTTTTTTTATCTAAATCATTTGATACCCTCACACCTTACTTCTTTTCTATGGTTCACTTTCAACTTTCTAAACCTTTACGCACATTCCCAAACTCATCCAACTAACCTTTGCAATTTTTCTTTAGAATCTCCCATAACACAGTATCATCAGCAAAAAGTAACTCAATTCCCCCATTTTGAATTTTTATTCCCCAAAATTTAATCCCACCCCTCTCCCGAAACACCTAGCATTTACTTCCTTTACAAACCCCATCTATAAATATATTAAACCCAAACCCTGGTGACACTACACATCCCTGTCTAAGACCTACTTTTACCGGGGAAATAGTCTCCCCCTCTTCTACACACCCTAACCTGAGCCTCACTCTCCCCATTTAAAAAAATCTTTACAGCATTTAGTAACTTACCAACCCATTCCCCTATACTTGCAACTCTGCCACATTGCTCCTCTATCTACTCTATCATATGCCTTTTCTAAATCCATAAATGCAATAAAAACTTCCCTACCTTTATCTAAATACTGTTTTACATATATGCTTCAATGTAAACACTTGATCTACCAACCCCTAAACCCCTTCTGAAACCTCCTGCTCATCAACAAACCTCAATTCTGTCTTACCACTAATTCTTTCAATTATAACCCTACCGTACACTTTTCCTGTATACTCGGTAAACTTATTCCTCTATAATTTTTACAGTCTCTTTTGTCCCCTTTCCCTTTATATAAAGGGACTATACATGCTCTCCGCCAAACCCTAGGTACTTTCCCCTCTTTCATACATTTTTTAAGCAAAAGTACCAACCACTCCAACTATATCCCCCCCTGCTTTTAACATTTCTGTCATGATCCCATCAGTTCCCGCTGCTTTACCCCCTTTCATTCTACTAATGCCTCACGTACCTCCCCACACTTACATTCTTCTCTTCTTCACTCCTAAAAGATGGTATACCTCCCTGACCAGTGCATGAAATTACTGCCTCTCTTTCTTCCTTAACATTTAAAAGTTCCTCAAAAAATTCTCGCCATCTACCTAAACTCCCCTCCCCATCTACTAACTCCCCTACTCTGTTTTTAACTGACAAAAACCATATTTTCCCTAGGCTTTCTTAACTTGTTTAACTCGCTTCCAATTTTTTTCTTATTTTCATTAAAATTTCTTGACAGTGCCTCTCCCACTATCATTTTCTCTCCTTTTCACTCTCTCACCACTCTCTTTACCTTTCTTTAACTCTCCATATACTCTGCTCTTCTTATAACACTTCTGCTTTGTAAAAACCTCTCATAAGCTACCTTTTTCTCCCTTTTTTCAAAACCCTTTACTTCATCATTCCACCAATCACTCCTCTTTCCTCCTGCCCCCACCCTCCTATAACCACAAACTTCTGCCCCACATTCTAATACTGCATTTTTAAAACTTTCCAACCCTCTTCCCACCCCCCCCACCCCCCCCCCCCCCCCCCACTACTCATCTTTACACTAGCCCACCTTTTTGCCAATAGTCGCTTATATCTCACCCAACTTCCTCCTCCCTTATATGCCTTATATACGTCATATATTATATCCTAAATTATGTTTTGTTCATGTTCCTTTATGTCACCTGGTTTAAGTACATCTCTAATAGTACATCTGTTATGATTCCTGATCCTTTACTTTATGGCTTTGAGAAGGCTGTCCTGACCCAAACTATACTCCATTACTTCATTATCCTGTATGTACAATAAGGTTAATTGCCGAAAGTCATTCACATGACTGAGTTTTTAGTGGATCTAGGTTTCTGGAGTATATTTTCATCCTTCAATGATTGTGTCTGCATAGGTTTCACATTGGGCTAGAAACCTCTTCTCATGTATGTGTTACTAAATTGAAAAAGAGACTTTCGTTTTTCTTTTTTGGGCCACCCTGCCTCGGTGGGATATGGCTGGTGTGTTGAAAGAAAAAGTAGTAGTTTCACATTATCAGGAAACACACACACAACACAGTCTACACAGTAAGGCATTCCTTATATAAAACAAAGTAGTGGTCCCAGTACTGAACCTTGTGGTACCTGGCTTGTTACAAAAAGGAAGTTGTGAGATTTGATGAACACTTTGGCCTCACAGAGCACTCAGTGCTCCTGGCAATAAAAATTAAACAGCAGCTTACACAAGAACATCATAAGTTTAACAATGTAAAAAGTACAATAATGATCAAACATCCAACACAAATACTGTCAACACTTTGCATGCCTGAAAACATTAAATTGTCGTACCTGGAGTTTACCTGGAGAGAGTTCCGGGGGTCA